GCTAAAGGTTTGATATATGAACGTTAAAGTAGCTAAAATATTCATACGAGGGTTAAAACAGCTGAAGGTAAGCACAGACTTCACCTCTTTCAGTCAGATCTTTCGGCTGTTAGTTTTTTAGTTTGGAGGGGGGCTCTCAGCCCCATCAGAACCTGGTGTGGGCCCGGTTCTGACGGTCCGTGTCTCTTCAGGGCTGGTGTACGACTCCCTGATGCAGAAGCACCAGTGCATGTGTGGGAACACCAACAGCCACCCGGAGCACGCGGGCCGGATCCAGAGCATCTGGTCCCGGCTGCAGGAGACCGGACTCAAGACCCAGTGTGAGGTAAGAGCGGTCCGCCGGGCCGGCCGCGGTACCGCGTGCACATTCAGGTCACGTCACGGCTGCTTGTGTGTCCAGTGCGTCCGTGGGAGGAAGGCCACGCTGGAGGAGCTGCAGACGGTCCACTCAGAGGCCCACGTGCTGCTGTACGGAACCAACCCGCTCCGGCAGAAACTGGACTGTAAGCTGAGTGGGCCAGAACCACCAGAACCTGCAGCTGACCCGCTCTGACCGCACTCTGTTTCTGACCCGCAGGTTCCGTTACGCCCATGTTCGTCCGGCTGCCGTGTGGAGGGGTGGGGGTGAGTGACGCTTTGTTTACAAACAAACAAACTGAGACGTTTTGTTTTTGTTGCTTTGTCGTGTTAAAAAGGTCCAAACGGGCCTCGAGCAGAACTCACTCTCTGGCTTTTCTGCTGCTGAGACTTTCTACCGTACGGTTTATACCGTACTTCAGCACATGTTCAGCTGCTTCAGCTACCATAACCTTCAGCTATCATAACCTTCAGCTACCATAACCTTCAGCTGTCATAACATTCAGCTACCATAACATTCAGCTGTCATAACATTCAGCTACCATAACATTCAGCTACCATAACATTCAGCTGTCATAACATTCAGCTACCATAACCTTCAGCTGTCATAACATTCAGCTACCATAACCTTCAGCTGTCATAACATTCAGCTACCATAACCTTCAGCTGTCATAACATTCAGCTACCATAACATTCAGCTACCATAACATTCAGCTGTCATAACATTCAGCTGTCATAACATTCAGCTATCATCTATCATAGCCTTCAGCTGTCATAACATTCAGCTACCATAACATTCAGCTGTCATAACATTCAGCTGTCATAACATTCAGCTACCATAACCTTCAGCTGTCATAACATTCAGCTACCATAACATTCAGCTACCATAACATTCAGCTGTCATAACATTCAGCTGTCATAACATTCAGCTATCATCTATCATAGCCTTCAGCTGTCATAACCTTCAGCTACCATAACCTTCAGCTATCATAACCTTCAGCTACCATAACCTTCAGCTGTCATAACATTCAGCTACCATAACATTCAGCTACCATAACATTCAGCTGTCATAACATTCAGCTATCATCTTTCATAGCCTTCAGCTGTCATAACATTCGGCTGTCATAACATTCAGCT